CCAGGATACAGCTGATCTCTGATAGAGCCAACCCTCAGGGAGGGAAAGGAAGAATAGGAAAATCGAGCACCAACGTGTTTCAGGAGCCTATCCCCTGCTCTGGCAGGCAGCCGACATTCAGCCAGAGCTAGGCATCCGTGGCCTCACCAAGTGTGACTCGTAAATTCACTTGCCCGTGGTCACACAGCGCAGGGAGATTTGGCTGGCGTTTGCAGCCAGGGGCATAGTATCTTTCCAGCAAAGTTGTGAATCTCCCAGGGAGCTCTGAAGGTCCCTATCCCTGTGTCCTGCTGCCCTCCCTGCGTTGAGAGGGTTTCAAACTGATTTTGGGCTTTTCTTTTGCCCTCACATACTCGATTATGCCTTTTTGTACCCAGTTTCTACCACCTGATCCCTACCTCTTTTTTTCTAAATAAACCATTTGGGTCAAATTACAACCTACCCCCCGTCCATGAAAGGTCCTTAGTTCTTGGACTTTATGACTTCCTAAGGAAATCCCCAAAGTATATAAAATCTTTGCAATTGGAACAGTCAAAATTCAAAGGGGAAAAGAGGGGTTCCGCTGCCTCTTGATTCCCTCCCTCACTCGGCCTCCCAGTTTGGTGCTTCGAGAGAGAGAGACACACACACACACACACCCACCCCCGCACGGGGCTCATTTTTGTGCCCCAGTCGTGGAGAGCCTGCAGACGCCCTGTTTCTGTTTCTGCCTGCAGCCTCTTCCCTACAAACAATGTCCTAAGCAGCTTGGAGAGAACCCTCATTTCTTTCATTATCAAATTGCTGTAAAGCTGTGATTCACTTGGAGACAAAATGATTTCCTGCTGAGGCTTTATGCGAGGTGATTAGCAAGGAGAGAGGTAATCAGCTGACCTAATATGCACTGAGTTTCTCGGCTCCTTCCACCATCTGCAGCCGTTCTGCTGCCTCCTTCATTCCGAGCCTAATTGGGGCGGCTTCCCTTTCAGCCTGGCCGGAGCATGTGGCCACATAGGAGACCATTAGCTGCATAAGGTCGGCCTCGGTCGAAAGGTAAAGAAAACAGTCTTTTACCCAGCGACCTTTCGAGATTTTTATCTGTGAATGCCTGCTTTGTGTTCTCCCTTAATGAATTCTGAAGACATTTCTTTTAAGATGGGTGGCGTGACCTCTCCTTCGAGACCGGGCTTGTGTTTGTGGGGCTGGTCATTATCCCGGCTTTCGACTCCACGCCTCACGGGGCCACAGCACAAATGGAACCCTCCCCCCCATCACCCCTATTAAAGGTTGCTCAGCCGTTCCAAAGAATAGGGCCCAAGCAGGGCTGGGTGGACCCAAGGACTTTGGGCCCTTAATCCTCAGATATTTTTAAGTGTCAGTTAAGCCTCATATTGGCTTGAATTGCCTTTTATCCGTCTTGTGAGGACTTCTAAATAAACAACGGAGAGAACTGATGTTCAAATATGTTAAGAATCAAAGTTGTAGTCAACCATCATTATGATGCATCTGTTTCCACAGTTGGGAGACAACTTCCCGCCTGATTCAGGAATCCTCCCAAAATGCCTCTGATGTCACTTCTCCTAAAATCCCTGCCGTGGTGGAGAGCTCACTACCTCTCTTAGTGCTCCGTTCTATAGTCGGGCATTTCTAGCCATGAGACGGTTCTGTTTTATTAAGTGGAACCACATGAAATTGCCATTTCGGATAGGTCAACATGGTCAAGTACAAGACATGTTACAGATGCAACCTGCAAGTTGAGGCCAAATCCACTTTTTTTCCTCTTCCCTCATTTGCCTTATTTCTGCCCTCCGAGTAGGACCATGCTAGGTTCTGCCTTGCACTTGACCGAGGCCCTTCAAACACTTAACGGCACAGTCCCACCATGCTATGTAATGTTCTTCTCTTGTCTAATTTTTCTTATTTTCTCCAATTGCTCTGGAGTCCCTGGTTCCTAGGTTCTCTGTCGACCTGTTGCCTTCTCCTGGAGGTGCTGTAGCTAAGTGCGAGTTTACAGATCATATAGTTTTTCATTCAACAAATGTTTCTTTGGCGTCTAGGACTCCCAGGGGCTGAAGATACCGTGGTATTTCTGAGGCCCAAGACCATGCTTCAAGTATCCTTGAGACTAAAATAGTGCAACGAAATACCATCTAGTTTTCCGATGTCATCAAACCTATCAAGATGCATCTGTCTTTTAACGTGGTTAGGGAGTATTTTCCTAAAAATTGGAAAATGAAATTCCACGGAATTAGGAAATATAAGTACCCAGGTGACATTCCATAGCACAAATATCTTTCTCCTATCACACTGATTACAACTAAGTACTTTTTGAATGATTTGATTTACTATTTAAGTTAATTTCATTTAAATCAAATTCATTTCTGTTTCCCTCCCTGTATGTAAAGTTGAACCGTGTTTTTAAATAAAGACTGCCCCATTTCCCACCATCAGAGGCAAGAGCCCCTGGTCTGGGCGTGTGTCTTCCTTCCCCCTGGCTGGTTCTCTCCTCTTCTCTCCTCCCCGCCTGCTTGGTGGAGAGCTGCTTGCTGACAAACATGCCTGAGCATAGCCGACCACAAAGGGTGTTAGATGGGCTGCCCCAGGCTTCAAGGTGCCCTCCTGGCAATGTGGTCAAGTCAGCCCCATCTTAGCACTTCCTGGTACCTGTGTTGCTATGGTGGGACTTGGTGTCCCAGCGAGAGAGAAGGGAGTTGGGCAGGCTTTCACTAGGGCTGACTGGTCTACCTGCAGTGGGGGCCCTTGGCAGCAGGGATTTCCTGGAGTGGAACCAGGACCCGCTGGGTTTTCTGCCCTGTAACATAGTGTTCCCTCTACCTGCCCTTCAGATTCCCTCAGGGTAGAAGACCCCCTCACAGGGGTCCGCGCCAAATGTGTGCCAAAACTACCCTAAGGGCATTATTGTCTTCCTCTCTCCTGTCGAAGACGTGTCCGCCTACACTGGAAGTTGTAACGGAGAGAGTCTTGGTCGGCAGGTTCTGTGATTTCAGACGGGTATTCGTGAGAGATAAATACAATCTGTCATGTTAGCGTGTTCTGGAGGCTCCTGTCGGACAAAGAGGCTCCTGGGGGCTTGGGAGGGGTTCCTCCCTGAGGCTCTGGGCTGTCCACCTGTCACTTAATTCTGAGCACCGCGGGGACACTGCCCCGTCAATGACCACAGTGACAGTAATACACACTTACTGCGTATTAAGTGTGTGCCAGGCACTGGCCTAAAGCCTAAGCCAGCACTGACTGACTTCACTCCCACTATTATTACCCTCGTACAGATGAAGAAGCCCATCACAGAGATGGCACGTAATTGCCCCTATCATCCAGCCGGCCACACGGGGCCCGTGGCTGCAAGAGCACCCTGCACTTGACTTTTCTCGGCGGGAGTGGTGGTGTCTCCCTCTTTGGCTTGTGCTAGAGACTATTGGAGGATCCGCTTTCCATCAGTATGCCCTAAGAGAGCTCTTCTTCCAGAACTAGACGACACGCTCCCTTTGAAATGGATTTTTTTAAAAATCGGAAGTAAAGCTACCCATCACACAAATAATGTTGTTCAATTTTATTATTTATTCGAGAACACGGAAAGAGGCCGAGGCATAAATTTTATTTTTTTTGGTTTGTGTCAATTTTATTTATGTGTACTTTTTCTTTGCTTTGTTAGTGAGTTTCACCAAGAGTTATTTATACCAACCCAATCTGATAATAAGGTCCCAATACTAATCAGCGTTCATATTTTCCTAAGCAACCACCACCCCCCGTGATTTCTAGTCCTTCCCGATACTAATGTGAGTGTTATCTGCTGCTGCTACTGTTGTTATTATTTTATTTTATTTTTAACCATTTTATTTATTTGAAAGAGAAACAGAGAGAGTACAAGAAGAGGGGGGGGGCGAAGGGAGAGGGAGAAGCAGGCTTCCCGCTGAGCAGGGAGCCTGATGCGGGACTTGATCCCAGGACCCTGGGA